CATGTTTTGAAAGGCTTACAGAGAAGTGATGCTTTTCATTGATTAGTGGTCATATTTCTTCCTGTGTTTTTTTCAAAAAGATTTCCAAAAAGTCTCTGTGATCTAAATATGTTGTTTATAATATTAAAAATGAGGAGATAGTGTATTATGCATTGTAATGTAAATTTTAAATGTGAATGGGACAAGTTATTATGTTGAAAATTGACTTGGATAAAAAATTAGGGGTTTGTTCCTACAAATAACATAGATTTTCAGATCTCAAAAAAGAAAGAATTCCAACAATTTTTATTCTTTAAAGATTTCCTTTAGAATTGTTAATTAACTATGTCAAATATCAGGAAAAATTATCAATTTAGTGCTGTAATTGCTCTCTAATGTGCATTACAGGAGCAATGATCTTTATATATATATGCATATAAATGAAAGTATGTATACACATATATTCATACAAAAGGAGTATTTTTTAAATCTGTGAGTGATGACTTTTGAGTTTATATCCTTTGAAGATTTCATGCAATACATGGTTTAATAAAATGAAAATTTCTTTACTTGCACAAAATATATGTCGAACATTTCTGCATACAGTCAAGAAACTTCCAGGTGACCTTTGAAAAACAATCACTGTATGATTTGCTTTTGTATTGTAAAAACTTTCCAGTGACTGTGTGTTGTGCTTCAATGTCCAGACCTCCAAGGCAGTACACCTCTTTCTTTGTTTTTATTGCTGCCATGTTTCTTCAAAGCATTAGGTATTTATTCACATGCGGCATTTCTCTGTTCGTTGTTTGAAGAAAAATAGCTCCATTTGATGGGTGTCAGATGTAGAGTGGTTATTTCCTTACAAAATTTAAAAACAAATCTGTTTCTAACAATAAATACTATTGTCCATAATTCTGATAATTGATGCGGTGTGCACTACCACATTTTCTGAAAATTATAAGAGGATTTTTACACTTAGAGATCTAAGTGCAGCTTAAGGTAGCAGTCTATTTTTCTGTACCTATGTTGATATTGTTCTTTAGTCAGTATGCGTATATTTTTTGTTCATGGGCCTAAAACGTTTATTCTTTCTATTGAAGACTGTAAAATCTAAACCAGTATAGATTATGATGGGACACCTCTGCATCCTTAATGAATTTTGGAAAGAGCCTGCACCAATCATAGATGTGCATGACAAGAACATTCCTTGCAAGAGGTTTGTTGAACTGAGGCATTATTTCAAGTTATCTCATTCAAGACATGACTGAAAATTAAACTTAAATATACTTTACGTGCCAAACTTTATCAAAGACATGCTCGCCCTCCGTGTTTTTTCTGGGAAGCCACCTTTATGTCTGTTGATACTTTACAGACTATAGTTCATTCAAGAAATATCTAGTCTAACAACTGATATGTATCATTTAATTCCAGTGATACTGGTGATTTGCACAGAGGTATATAGAAAGAATCTGGTGGGACAGAGGTCTAATTCAACATTTTCTGGTTTTCAAATCATTTTCTGTGTAAAGTCAGAACTGGTCATCAATATTCAAGTTGCAGCCATAGGTAAGAGTTCATTCTTCTGCATCTGTAAAGCGCACTGACCTTTGCCTCCAGATGTGGATATGACTATAGTTACCTGCCACTTCCACCATGAGGTTAAGTTTAGGTATCATTTACCTTTTTTTTTTTTATAATTTGAGGATTTTAAGTTATTTATCCATGGTCTGAAATTGTCTGCATAGTTACTGGGTAAACAGAATTTACCACTGCATTTTATTCTTGAGGAATTCAAAGCATGACTTTTTATTTAAACAATTAACTATTAGTCAAGTCACATATTTTCACCTTCTTTTTCTCCTCTCTCTCTCTCTCATTAATGCCGTGATCATTGTTATGAAACCTCTTACTAACTTAAGAAGAAGGTTTGAGGTTAGGTTTTCTTTGTCAAGAGAAAGCCTTCCCTTGGAACTAGTTCCAATCTTTGGCACAAGTTTGATAACCTTCAGAGTATCCTAAAGCAATCATTTTTTCTCTTTAACTTCACAGGCCTATAGAGTAGCAAAGTAATCAGAGTATAGATGTAAATCTCATTTTTCAGGCAAAACGATTTTGTGGATTGGTTAGAGATTATTTGTGCAAATAGGGAGAAATATATTTTTAAAGTTTCATTATTGTTACAATAGACACTGCAAAACAAACCTATATAAACTCCAAATAAAGGGAAAGCCAGGACTTGCTTAGTAATTGCTGTGTAGCATCAAGTTACTGAAATGCTGGCCAATTTAACTGTAATAGAAGTGCCCATGTTTGGTAACTATGGTATTCCATTTTTGCTGGATAATACAGATTGCTATTTTTTTTAAGAGGAGCCTCCTAAAATAAATTGAAGACCCTTTAGAAATTTTCCAAATAAAAATCTCACATTTAGTTGTTGCCAGGAAGCTGACTGACGTATCCGTATTGTGAGATCACGCAAAGCTTCTTATCATACCTTCTTGAAATAGTTAACACTTTAAGGAAGCAAAAATAAACCTTGTTCTTCCATTTTTAATCTCTGAATGCTATTTTTCTTGGTAACTATTCTCTCAGCTCCTTCGGATCCTAGCTTTACATTCTTCTTAGCAACAGCTTTATTCAAATTATATTCTTTGTCCCAGTAGTCTACAGGAACATATTATGTTCCTGGTCCTGTGCAACAGTATATATTCCTAGCAGGAGGTGCATTGTGCAGTTTCAGTGCAGAAACATGGAAGGAACTTCGGTCTTTAGTGCACTGCATTATGCAGAACAGCAGCACCACTGCTAAGTGCTCGTACAGTGGTTCAGTGATCATTAGATGGTACTAGAGAGACTAGGTGTTTCCAGGTTTAAGCCGAGTCAGTGCTAGTTGAGCTGCACTGTAGGCCCAGTGGACCTCGCAAGCAACATTTTCAGGTTTTATTTCCATCTGTTAAATCTGCCAGGTTTCTGATACAACCTTAGAGCTGAACTGAATTTTACTTACAGGACATAAATAAATTGCCAATTACTGCTGTGGCAATCGTGTATTTAAAAATTGACTGTGAAAATTGATGAACAACTTGCTACTCATCAACAGTGAATTTCACATTATAAACATCTGAAGGGGTTTTCTGTCAAAATACTATCATGTATTAACAATGTTCTTTATTGATATAATAGCTGCACTTGGTTTAGCATAGTGCTTGTACTGCAGTGGAATGTTAGCTGACCATATATTCAGAAATAACCTTGATTTCTGAATCCCCAACTTACTAAAAATGAAATATCTTAAAAACAATATTAAAGCCTTGTAAATCAAACTTCTATTTGAACGTAAAACCAAAAAGATGGATGGAAAGTAACTTCAGAATTCAAAATTCTAAAAATTAAACTCAAAATCTCAACGTGAAGTCATATAAATATGACATTAAGTACATGTGACCAGAGAAGAACAAAGAAGGCTCCTCTCCCTGTCCATGTGTCCAGACTGTTAGTACAGGAATGACTGGGACGATCATTTCCTTAGAAGTGTTCTTGCAAAACAGCTCATTGGGGACCCGACCATAACCATGGGTATTGTGAAATGTTTGTTGCTTTTGTTTCAGTGGTGTGTTGTGGTACTAGGATGTAGACTTCGGGTTTTTGTATTGTATGAGAAAGTTCTGGAAGGCCAGTTGCAGCTTTTTTTATGTTAGTGAAAACTCATTTTCTCCATTTTCATTTTCTGATCGATAGAAAATGATGACTCTGTGTCCTTGTCTGGATGAGGTGCTAAAAGTACATGCAACTGTTTCGTGTGATTGACAACATAATTGGGAAGAGAAAAAAAGAGTGAAAAAGAAACTGAAAGATGCCAGAAATCAAGTACAAACAGGGCAGAATGAAACTGATTATTTTAAAACTAAGCAGTAAACTGGTGAAGGAATAAATGCTTTTCATTTGCATTATTTGTATCATATGCTTCTCTATGAACAATTTTGAAACTGAATACTGAGTATCCCAATGTTAATTATTTGATGTTTCATCCTCTTCAGATGAACTGATGTCTTAGCTAGGTATTTCCTGAGAACCAGTAAGTCCTTAAGTCATGGAATACCTTATGTACTTCTAGTGTTATTTCAAACCACTGTTTACTTTTTGAAGATGTCATAATTTTGTTGTTCACCAAAATCAGACTAGAGGGCTCTTAACAAAACATAACAAAATGTAAACAAAGTATTTGTTTCTGGCCTCTTCTGTTTCACATTGTTGGAAAAGCCTTCGAAATAAATCATGTAAAATGCAGGGTTTTCCAAGGCCCAGGGCAAAGGGTGAGCCTATGATTTATTAGGTATCAGTATAAAGTAACAGATCAGGGTCTCTCATCACTCAAGGGTGTCCTTTACACCTCCGAATTGTGCTGGTCTCTGTCCTTATCCATTTCTACTGTGGCTTTTCACATTTTTTTCCGTAGAGCACTTGAGTCCACCATGCCTCTTCTGCTGCATACCTCCTCCTTTCACACAGACAGCAGAAGAGTCTGGGAGAGGCTTCATAGCACAATTCTTCCCAAAACCTAAATTTGTCAACTGCAGAGGAATTAGTGGCCAAATTGTATAATGTGCCAAGTGCCCTTTACTCTTGACAGTTTTGGAAGGACATGAAGGAGCTTACCGCTTTCTAAGACTGTGAGCCTGCATGAGGAAAGTTTCAGGGCTATTGTCAAAGGAACTTCTACTCTTGGTAGCAAGGAAAAAAAGCAGTATGCTATATAGCAGCCACAAAATTATACTATGAAGAAAAGTTGTATTATCTTTTTTTTTCTGTAGAAGATTCTTAACAATATTTTAATATGGTCATAATGATGAATGACTTTTCCAGTCTGACACTGTTTATCCTTTGATTTATTTTATGCTCCTGACCACAGCCTGTCTTTTCTTGTTTCAAAACAGAGCATGAAAATACATTTCACTGTGGTTATTTCTGGCAACAGGCAGAACGCATGGACATTTTACTATATGTTTTTTATGTATCTACAGATGCAGCAGCTTGAGAAACAAGTTATAGATGCTGATCGTCAAGCAGAGAGAGCTTTTCAGCAGGTACATATATAAATTGAAAAATATCTCCACTAGCTATGTGCATGTTGCTGTCACGAAGGAAAATTCAGAAAATTGCTGTTTCATAAGCATTGCTCAAAAGGGAAAAGACAGTTTCTTTTTACATCTATTTATTTGTCTTACCAGAGATGTTTAACACCTTTCTCTGCTCACTATTCAGTTCAATAAAGTTAAAGCTAACAGCACGAATCAAAAATACATACATATAATGAGCTTCATCATTGGTGCATCATGAGTCTTTGATACATGATGCACATGGAAACAGAGAGGAAACAGTGACCTATTTTAGAAAATCTGTGAGAAAATAAAACGAGGCTATCCAATACAGTCTCCAAACAGGATTATTCTATGTTGTTTTGTTCTTCTTGTAGAAGTTACGCAATCTAAAGAATGAGATCATGGCTAAATATTTAACCAAATTTGCCTTTTGATTCCAAATGGCAGATACAGTTACTGCAGACATTTTATGAACATATCTCTGGTATTCCCTAAAAATCCTTTGTATCTTACTGTGAGACAGATAGAAACTAAAAATTAGAAGAATAAAAATGTTCATGCACTAACTTGGACTTAGAAAACATTCCTGACTACAAGCCAAGTACTTTTTAGCCATTTTTTAGAATGCTTCTGATAATTTGTTGGGGTTTTTTACACTGTGCAATTGTTTATTTATTAAAACATTGTTTATTAAGGCTAACAACAACTCTCTGTACAGAAATGGCATTCTTCCCATATTGGTGTTTCTAACAGCTTGCGTGTTGCAAACCTAGACGCCTCACACTGATACTAACAAAATCCGTATAAGGTCTATCAGTGTTTTGCCAGTCGTATTGGTATTAGATGCGTGGGGAGACATAATGAACTGTGGAATTTCTTCTCAAATAGGCTTCAGAACTTTGAAGGGTTATCTTGAATCTTGGGGGGGGCAATTTTAAGTCCATTTTGTGATTAAATTACTACCTTTAACTTGGAGTATTATGTTTCTTAGTCGTATGTTTGACTTTCCAAATAGGTGCAGGTCATGGAAGAAAAATTAAAAGCAGCTAATGTTCAAACAAGCGAATCAGAAACTAGGTTGTATAAGAGATGTCAAGATCTGGAGATCCTGATACAAGATAAAAATGACAGAATACAAAAATTGGAGCAACAACTTGAAGAACAGGTTAGAAATAATGGTGCTACAAAAGATGAGCATCAATTCCATCCTTAATTATACAAATGGAAAATAAAATTTAAGATCAGTAGAGGACAGAAAAGTTTAGCATTATTTCTGTTGTTTGATTAAAGAGGTTCCCACTGGAAGTGTATCATTTGAATAAGGTATATTCACTTGCAAATTATACTCTGGCCTCCTTTGAAAGAACATCTAACTTTTAAGAGAGGAAAGATGTTCTTCCTCTTCACTGTCTCCTCTGAAGAGCTTTCATTTTTCTTAGAGGAAAGAGGAACTGCAGCATCTATGAAGGGCTTATCTTTTTTTTTTTTTAAATCATCATGTCTTGCTCAGGAGACTGAATTACTTCAAGCAGTCTTAGGATTTGTGTCTGAAGATACTACTCAGACAGACTATAATACTCAGTGAAAAATGTGCTTACGTCAATTTTTTTTTCCAGAAGCAAATAAGACTGCAAGAAGCAAAAATCATAGAAGAAAAAGCAGCTAAAATAAAAGAATGGGTGACAGTCAAGCTCCATGAGGTATAACTCTTGCTACAATACTTACCATACAAAAATATAATGGTGTGACTGGATATCCCTTCGGTTTTTTGGCTGTTCAAGAGCTTTCTGCCATAGTAAAAAAAAAAAAAAGCTTCCCCGTTTCATTGGTTGGCGCAGTTACTTGCGTGAAAGTGGAAAAATGAAAACAACAGCCCAGAGGGCAGAGTATCTGTGTCAATTAACTTCTGATGTCTAATTCGGTCAACTGGTATGTCTGGGTCCTCATTGTGGAGAGAGAAGGTCTACGTATCTCCACTAATTGTGAGAGATTAGCTGGCAAAGTGAGCTTGGTCAAGCAGATGCCTGAAGTGTGAATAATCCCCAGAAAGCTGACCAAGTCTGCTTGGGCCTGGCAGAAAAAAAGGACTTGATCATTTTTTATATTTCAATGCCCACAATACTCTTAGTCGTGAATAGTTTCAGGGGCACCAGCTCTATTCCCAAAAGAGACCAGCTGTCTGCCTTGTTTCTCTGCTGTGGTGAGATAGCAATGTCTTTGCCCTGCCTAAGGTTGCCAGTTTTGGTGTGCAGCTGTGCTTTTTCCTCGTGTGTATAAAATTTAAAGATGCCCATAAAAGTTAAAATCCTACTCTGTTGTAATTAAGTGGAAATTATACGCAGTCCAGTTGAAAAACAATTAAATTATTATTTTTAAAGTAGGAAACTAGAAGTAACATTTACTATTAGTCTGCAAGAGGAGTTTCTGAAATCATTTCATAAAAATGCAATTAAGTTTAGCTGAAATTATCTTGAAAAAGTTTGGACAAAATCAAATATGACCCAAACTATTTACTCAGTTTGAAACATGGAGAATCTCAAGCTCGTTTCACAGAGGTGTCTAGGTGTCACCCAATGGGATGTGGAACTGATGACTCACCTCTGTCGTATGGGATATTCAGGTTCAAATCTTCTCTTTGCCTAATTCAGAGCAGGAGTTTGAACCAACATTTTCACCTCCTGGTAGTGGGCTACAGCAATGAGCTGTTGGGTTTTTTTTCTTCCTGCAAGAAGTCACCTTCTCTGCATTTAGTTTTTTGGTACCTACTTTTTAATCTTTGCTGTGGGATGGTAGGAGGCATTAGCACCATCATTCCCTCTAATTCCTCTGCTTACTCTTGGGTTTGCCAAGTGGCACAAAAGTTTGTAATTCTAGCCCTCTGCTCTTATTTGAAAATGCCAATGCAGATTTCTTTTTTCTTAGTTATTAAGGCTTTTAAAGGAGTCTTGGGTTTGCTTGGTTGGGGGAATGATTTTAACAGAAGTTGAGCAAATAATCATTGCAGGGAATTTCATTGTTCAGAATAAACAAATGCCTAGACTGGCATTAAGAGAAGTAACAGAGAGGAGCTTGCCATTTGAACTAGCTTTATCCTTAGATAAGCAGAAATTCAGAGAAAGTCTAAATAATGTAATAACTTTAAAAAGTTGATGAGATTACATTTATATGCTTTTAGTTAGAGGTGGAAAATCAGAACCTTCGCTTGATCAACCAAAAGCAAACCAAAGAGATGAAAACAGTACAATCTAAACTGCAAGGTAAATGTACAAATCTTTTAAAACCTTCTCTATATATGGCGTACTTCTTTCTACTCCCTGTTAATTTGTGCATCCACATAATTGAAATATTCTGTGAAATCACAAAGATTTTAGTTAGTATGAACTGACATCAGAGTGACTGTACATGAATGTGTTAGACAAGCAATAATTTATTTTTTATTAAGAAGACATGCAGACAAACCACAACTGATTTTTTTTGAGTGAATGGGTATCTATCTCTGTTATTTATTAACAAGTAGTAAGATTTGACTGGATTTATGTCAGATCTTTTATTTTACTTCTTTATAGCAAAGGTGGTCCTTGCACTGTTATGATATAGGTGAATGTCAGTTTGCATCTGTTTTTTCTAGCAAATGCTCAGTTAGGAATCAGAATTCTGATCAGATTTTTTTTAAATTACTACATTTGACTACAGTCATCCAAAACCTTATTTCAGCCACACTATCACCACGTTCCCTTCCAAGTGGATATAGTTAATTTAAAAATCTTAAAATGTAGATATGGGAAAGAGGAATATGCCCTCAAAGAGCATTATTTTGCATTAATCAAAGTTTAATTTTATTTGCCACTGTGTTGCCTGTCAACCAACTTGTTTAAGTCTCTCTGAAGGCTCCCACAGTCCTGTCCATACTTAGTTGACCTGATAACTTAGTCTCATCGGAAAGTCTTGTTAGTTTGCTACCTAGCCCTCATTTCTTGATAATGTATCTCATATATATATGTACATAAACAGACATTTAGAAATGTGTGTATATTTCTATATATGTGTGTGTGTACACATATAATATGCATAATGTATGAAAATGTAAATATTTACAAATTACATGCACAATATGAAGCTTTTAAACTAAGATGGGCCTCTGTTACTGGGGAAATGATTGTTCTGTTTCTTTGCTATTTTTTGATCAGCAGCAAATCTATATACTTCAGCACTTAATAGCATTAATCATCCTCTTCTGAGAGGTCTATTCAAAGGCTTTTTGAGACACTAAGAATATGTCAGATGGTTTTCAGCACACATTTACTGATAAGCTCAAAAATATTAAGAAATTTATTACCATTTTCAGTGTCCGTGCTGGTAACAGGCTATAAATTAGGAACGTGTGGTATTGTTTAAAACAGTTTATAGGTATGGATGAGGGCCTTTTGTTCTTGGATCTGCCACAAAACTTTTTATAAACAGGGATGGACAGCATTGTTTGATACCAGTTTCTGGCAGAATAGTTGTTCCTAAGGATGGATTTCATACTCTCAACACTGTTAATCATATTATGCTTTCACTTTCTCTTGGAGTCCTCCATATATACCTTCTAAACCTGGTAACTTAATCCTTTATATTTGCTGTACTACCTGTTACAGATTCTCTTAATATTTTTATCTGAAGGGAAAGCCACCACATACTTTAGTACTATTGTTCTACAGTCTTTCCCATATTATATATCCTAGACCAATACATAGGCTTAATTTCAGTCACAGCAGAATAAAATCAGGTATTTCCACTGGGTTTTCATTCTGTATTAAGTGCATGCTTTCTATCTAATTGCTGTGAAATTGTTCAAAGAGCTTTTTTTTCCTTTCTATACTAAAAAAAAATAAATCTTTAAGCACTGGAAATGTAGTTCTGGGTTTCTTTAGATATGGGGAAGTATCAAGTAGATTTTTATTCCTATAATAGTTTTTTATTATCTTTTTGCTAAATTTTAGTTATCTTGAAAAAACGTTTACACTGCAGAGTAAAGAGAGCGGTAGCATAGCTTGCTACATCCCATTAACACAAGATTTCTGAATTACTATTCTTCAGAAGCTACGGGCAAGAAATCTGCTACGTCAACACAAAAACCTGGAGAGTGTCAGCGACTAAGCAGTTTGACTTTTGGATGCTTTTCAAACAGAGCAAGAAGTCCTCAACCATCTCCCAAGTTTGAAGAAATAAGCAAGTCTTCACCTGAAGAGTCAGACTACACCGAAGGCAAAAACATGCTAGGTACCTAGTCACCAATACTGCCATTTTATTCTGACACAGGTAGAAAACTATGTCAGTGTATCTAAACCAGTTTTCAAAGTACATAGCCGTACTGTCTCCCTCTTTAATGCTAGTTTCTATTACTAGGAAGAAATCCTGTTGAGCACTAGAGTCTCCATAATACCACTAACACATTGTTTGGCAGCTTGCAGTGGCTGACAGGTGCTTTGGCTGCAAAGGAGAGAATTTCTTGTGGCCCAGGTTTGCTCCACAGTAGCATGAGGAGTTTAAGGCTGCCAGTCCCTTTGGGGAGGGCTTTTACATTTTTATGCCTGTGTAGTGTCTCACCTAAGTCCAGTTTCTGTATATTTTATCTGTGCTATCACTGCTGTCCCAGTGTTAGTTTTATGCCCTAACTCAACAAGATCAACTCAGTAATCTTTTATTAGTATGATCAAGGTCAGAAAAAATAGAAGACTCTGAGGCATCTTTTTGCTCCATTATTTCCTGTCCAAAGAAGGAGAAAGCTCCCTGATCAGGATTCATACAATTTCCCCAACAAGCCCTGAAGTCTGGTAATGCCAGCAAGTTGGTGTGCTGCTGTGCTACTATGAGCATAAGCAAGTCCATTGCAACTTGCTGCTTCCCTTAAGCAGTGAAAAGCACAGGAAGGAGACTAATGCTCTGGTCCTTCGTTTGAGTCCCACAGTACTATTTATGACCTCAGCATTTTCTCCACAGTTAATCATGGTGCCTAAAATTGCAAATCAAGGTCTGTAGAAAATGAGAAACTGAAGTAGATCCTCTTAATATTCTGTATATTTATATGATATCAAGTTCATTATAAAAGTGAGTATGTATTATTATTTCCATTTTTATAGGTGAGGGAATTGAAGTAAGAATTATTTTTTTCAAGGGAAAGGATAAGAAATAGAACCTTAGGCTTGCCTAGATGGAAACAGTTCAGCTTTTGTGACTTCATTACTTTAATGTGGACTCAATTAAAATCTTTGCCTTATCCAATCCACTTTAACTTCATGTAGTTATTTAACATTAACTTTGCCTCCCAAGTGTCTGTGCAAAAAAGCCCCAGTTCTTGCATCTGTTTTAACTCAGGGGAAGCACGTAGGCCTCACTGACACACTGCAAGCTATAGTCCCCTCTTGCAAAACCAGGTAAAAGTGAACAGCATAAGCAAAGCTATTTTTAATACAGCGTCTTTGCCTAAGCATTTTTCATGAGCCTCTCTTGTGTATTGTAAGCATTCACCACCAGGAAGCCAATAATAGCTTGCAGAAGAAATTTCTGTATATAAACACTGTAGAAATGCTCAGAATACTTGATTTGTTAATGTAAATATTTTCTGACAAGCTTTTACTAAATTTTAATTTTCCTTAGATTTAATAAAGCAGCTAAGTTTATATGCCCTTGTAAGCCTTTGTTTTGCTTTTTTGTTTTGTTTTGTTTTCATACATATCTGGATTACTTTAAAATATGGCTCCACTCTGCTCATCTTTACATTTATTGCCATTTTTAGTTTGGCCAGAACTTTGAGTAATGTCTGTTACAGTTTTTTGGCAAGCATCATTGCAACTTCAGTTGCATTCAAAAATTTATAATATTTTTCTTAAGGTTTTTTAGGTACAACATTAAAACACCTTCGATGTCCTTACACATTTGAAATGATTACCTACTTACTATTTGCAGATATGATGACAAAATCCTTCAGCAGTCAAGTTTGCCAAAGTAATTTTCTCATGTTCATTGTATTTCTCCTCCAGAGAAGGATATCCTGGAAACTACTTGTGCTGGTCCTGCACATGAGAGCAATAAAGGTCAGAAGTCATTGCAACAAAGTTCCTCTGGATCAGATCAGAACAAAAATGTGAGAACGAGCTGTTCATCTAAAGACATAGACAGTGACATGTCAAAGAACTCCTGCACTACCGGGAGTGACTGGAGCTCGGACGAGGATGCAGGAGACAATAAAGGACTGAAATCTAGGTGTGCATCAACTCTCTCAAGCCACACATCTGAAGAGAATGCCAGGTGCAGTAGAATGGGCAGTGAAATGTGTTTGACAGCATCTGATGACAGTAGTTCTCTATTTGAAGAAGAGAGTTTTGGTGTTCAGAGGACTCAGCACAAGAAGTTATACTCCTGGCAGCAAGGGGCCCAAAGAAAAGGCCAGAGCAATCCAGGTGGAAAGTCCAACTCTGATTTCACAAGTAAAAAGAAAGACCAAGATAGTTCTTCAGATGAACTGAATAAGAAATTTCAATCTCAGAGTCTAGATTATTCATCCTCATCCAGTGAGGCAAATACCCCAAGTCCAATTTTAACCCCTGCTCTGACACCCAAATACCCAATTCTAGCAACTTCTGCAGGTTCTCAATGCACAACGCCATCAGATTCTCCCTCAAATTTGCCACCTCCAAAGTTACGGACTCCTAATGTGTTTAGTATAAATTCAGCATTAGTAAAGAAACATCTAAGCCAGCCCCAGCTGAGTTCTGACAGAATGTTTGGCAGAAATAGAAATGCCATAAGCATGATACGTCCATGGAGACCTCAGGAAACAGACATTGATCTGGTGGATGGAGAAGAAACTGGTATTTTAGAGAAAATGGAGATTGGCTGTGATGAAGGAGTGTTTACCTATGACTGCACTGAAGCACAAAATGCTGAAGCCCAGGAACCTGGTGATACGACAAAAAAGGGTGCTAACAACAAACCTCCAACCCCTCCATTACATCGATTTCCTTCCTGGGTAAGTGTAATCATATATCCTACTAGTGAAACAAACTCATTTTCATGCTTCTTTTCTATGGTTTTTGTTGCTTCTACCTTTCTAATTCTCTTTGATGACAAGACGAGGCGTTACCTTAATTGGAACTAAGAGGACAAACTCAGAAGCAAGTTTGATTTGAAGAACAGCATTTCTGCTGCTGAAAAACAAAGTCACTATTTTTGTAGATAAAACCAATTTTTTCATGTCACATCTAAGTTACATATGTCCTTGTGAGTATATCAAACAAGCTTGCGCCTGCATTTATTTCTTTAACACTAACAGAGCCTAAGAGTGCTGGTGTCAGTGCCTTTGCTATAACAATGGTACTACTCACAATCGAGACAATTAAGTTGACAGAAGACAACTACAGATTACGAAAGTTATTGATCACATTTGCAAGTAAAATTTTAAAGCCATCAATCAGGGAATTAAAATAGATATTAATATTTTTTACACAAAATCCAAAATTAACTGTGTCTAGACTCACTGATTCTGCACTTCCACAGTCAGAGATTTATTAATGATTCAGAGATGAAGAATATGTTAATATAACAGCTTTTCTATGTATATATTTTCGTGCATATTTTTTCATTATGGATTTTCTTATTGTGATCTTTTAACACAAAACTGTTGAAAAGTTGCCTCCATAATGGCATTTCTCTGTTCTTAACATACAGTCTTCCTTTAAAAAAATATTCTTGCCATAGTTTCTTTGGCCCATGATAGCAGTATTTTTAAAAAGTTATCTGTAAGGGCAAGCACTGTGTGGAAAAAAGGTTGGAACAGTGTATGGGTATGGTGGGTATGGCATTTAAAATAAGGATGCATTTTTCAGCTGCTACTGATAACACTATTTTATCAACCATTTTATCACATTGTTGTACTAACACAAAGACTAGGAGGCTATGGGGAGGCTAAACAGAAGAAAAGTAATTTTTGTGTTTTAATTATCTACATCTGCATTTAATTATCTACCATCAAATCCATTCTGCTTGTATAGGAAAGCAGAATTTATGCTGTAGCCAAATCTGGTTTAAGGATGTCTGAAGCTTTCACCGTGGAATCTCTTAACAAAAGTAAGTGGTTTAGCTGTTCATTGTCTCACAAACAAGAATTCTCTTCTTATGGTGATTTGTAAGCAAGGACCAAATGTCCCATGTTCCCATGTTCCTCTAAGATACTTTCATGAAGATTTAGTTATCTGCTATTTAAAAACTAGAAGATGATTGGTTATCTTTCCATTGTCTTCTATTACCTTGCCTCTTGACTTTGTGTTGAATTTGTACTTTGTTCACTCCAGTTTTCTTTGCAATTCACTTTGAAGATTCTATAGCAGGTACCAAGGTAAGATATTATACTTTCAATTTAAAAAGGGTTAACGGTTATGACTGCAATTTATTTATACTCCTTAAAACCACTGTAAATTTCGAAAAGCTATAAATCTCACATCCAAACCAGTTCAGGAGTTAGTTTGCTTTTTATAGCAGTTATAGCAGTTACAGGCTGAGAGTTGGGCTTGTTCAGCCTGGAGAAAAGAAGGCTCCAGGGAGACCTTATAGCTGCCTTCCAGTACCTAAAGGGGCCCCATAAGAAAGCTGGAGAGGGACTGTTTACAAAGGCAAGTAGCGATAGGACAAGCGGTAATGGCCTTACGCTGAAAGAGGGCAGATTTAGATTAGATATTAGGAAGAAATTCTCCACTATGAGGGTGGTGAGGCACTGGAACAGGTTGCCCAGAGAAGCTGTGGATGCCCCCTCCCTGGAAGTGTTCAAGGCCAGGTTGGATGGGGCTTTGGGCAACCTGGTCTAGTGGAGGGTGTCCCTGCCCGTGGCAGGGGGGTTGGAACTAGATGATCTTTAAGGTCCCTTCCCACCCAAACCATTCTATAATTCTGTGATTATACAATGCAAAAATTTACATTAGAATTTGGTTAATTGAGGGGTAAATTAGGAAGGTCATTTATATAATATGTTGCTTTTTTTAGGTGCTGTTTCACTAACATCATACTCCATATCCGGATTATATACATCTCTGATATATAAGAACATGACCACTCCTGTCTATACCACTTTGAAAGGGGTAACTGTATTACTGTTAAAAGGAAATTTTTAAATACCATTAGGCTTCTCATCCAGGAACTTGATGGTTCCCATTTGATGCTACTATGCCAAATATGTCATAAGATGATGTTTAGAGATCACAGAACCCCAGAAGTAATGGAAATGTCAAATAGCTGGAAAAAAAATTATTGCTGCTTATAAAATGTTACCAGCCCAGGTCAATTCTTCTTAGGTTCCTTGCTGATTTTTTCTAAAGGCTTGTTAATTATTAAACAGAGCCACATGGCGTTCAATGCCATAATTAAGTGTGCGTATGTGTAGAAATGTCTTTGTGTCAGTGCCAAAGCTGTTTGTAGTCGGATAGCCAGCAGTAACTAATCACAGCATTGTTTGTTTTCTGGCAGCCTTTTGTGATTTGGAAAGACCCATGCCTTGAACTACCTCAGGTTTCTGTTTTAAAGTGTGGGGGTGGTTGACGATACAGAGGGCAGAGGGAATTCAGTTTCATGTTGGTATTTGTGTGCCAAAACTCACAACCCAAGTAAGAACAGCTTTGAATGTTAAGAAGCCGGCAGAGCTCTGCCACACTATGAAAGAAATGACTGATACCCTTTATGCAAGGTATCAAAGAACGTTGTGTTAATTTCTGCAGAAAGCAACTCAAATAAGCAACAGCCCATTTATAGATGACTCGTCAGGATCTGAGGAAGAAGACAGCTCTTGGTCCAGCTCAAGGACTACTGAGTCTGATTCTCGAAGCAAAAGTAATCCGGGTAGTCCTCGGGCTATGAAACGAGGTAGGCAAAAAACATAAGAACAAATAATTTCTGGGAAGTTTGGAAAACTGGCCAGTTCTTCCTTAAACAGCATGGACATCTTATATCTAGACTTCTATGTCAGCTATCGAAGCCTAGCTCTATTAATCATGCAGGAGAAAGGACTGTTATACATGGCTTTGTTTTTATTGCTGTTATTATAGGTGACTTTTTAAGGCATTCATCTAGTAGCTGGTTGTTGTCCTGAGGGCAAAGTGACTTGTACATTTAAAGCAAGAAGCTCCATTCTATTGATACTCTGTCATGCCAAGGACTTCCTTGACATTTAATTGTAGGCAGGTAAAAATGACCTAGAAAAGGGTAATTGCCATCAGAAAAAAACCCCCACATATCATCAAGTTTATAAAACAAGGTAGCAGTTTAACGTGATCAGAAAGCAGGTGGAAAAGTTCCCTCAACACAGTAATTAGTTGTGTCATCTCATGCAGTGTGGTGGGTTGACCCTGGCTGGAGGCCAAAAAAAAGGGGCCGGGCCCCCAAAAAGCCGTTCTATCACTCCCCTCCTCAGCTGGACAGGGGAGAGAAAATATAATGAAAGGCTCGTGGGTCAAGGTGAGGACAGGGAGAGGTCACTCACTGATTACCATCATGGGCAAAACACATTCAACTTGGGGAAAATTAATTTAATTACCAATCAAATAAGAGTAGGATAATGAGAAAATAAATCTTAAAAAACCTTCCCCCTCCCCCCTTCTTTCCAGGCTTAACTTCACTCCTGAATTCTCTCCCTCCTCCTCCCAGCGGCACAGGAGGACGGGGAATGGGGGTTGTGGTCAGTTCATCACACGTTGTCTCTACTGCTCCTTCCTCCTCTGGGGGACGACTTCTCACACTCTTCCCCTGCTCCAGCGTGGGTTCCTTCCACGGAGTGCAGTCCTTCAGGACCAGACTGCTCCAGCCTGGGTCCCCCACGGGATCACAAGTCCACTCTCCTGAAGTGGGCTCCTCTCTCCATGGGGCCACAGGTCCTGCCAGGAGCCTGGTCCAGCGTGGGCTTCCCACAGGGTCACAGCCTCCTTCAGGTGCATCCACCTGCTCCAGCATGGGGTCCTCCATGGGCTGCAGGTGGATATCTGCTCTACCATCAGCCTCCATGAGCATGGGCTGCAGGGGGACAGCCTGCCTCACCATGGGCTTCTCCCTTCTTAACCACAAAACACACATGTATGTATCTTTGTTGAGATCACATTGTTTAAAAATCCAGGCAGTCACAAATTCCACTGTGCGCATAATTAGCTTGCTGCGTATTTGTTATTAAGGATCGTCCATGAGAAGAACCCACTTTGAAAGCCCAGGTGGCTTACCAAAGCAATAAAGCTTTTTTCTAATATAAAATTGGCAAATGAGTTTGGACATTAATGAAACAAAGGAAACAAGGCATATTCATTTCCCTCTTGCAGAGTAAGCTGTCAGAGTAGAACACTAGTCAGAAAGTAAAACTTTACAAACAGACATGCTCACACATTTGAAAATAATTATTTCTATAATAAATAAGGGAGAAGTTTGAATTTTTATTGCTGATTAACTAGAATTGAAAATAGGGTGCATTTTTTTCAGGGTTAAAGCTAATAAACTTTTAAAAAAATAAATCCTGAAATCTGGAATTCAGATTTTTAGAAATCATCAGTATAAAAACGCATACAAATCGCTAAATAAAGACAGTCACCTACAACCTCAACATATAGCAGATCTTGAGCACAGCTTCTTAGTAAACAAGCAGTTGCATGAGAAATCCAGATACTAGAGTGAATGATAGAAAGGGGAAGGGGAAAGTTGCTTAGTTTAATTAAAGAACTTGTATGTGTTTTCTAGAGAATGAGTACGATGCATGGCACTAACTCCCTCCTTAAAAAAGGTGTTGTAATGTAACAGAAGGTGATAATATATAGAAGACATTTATTTGTTGTTTCATTCACAAGTGACTTAAACTCTGTTTAATTATGAAGAAAATGGAATTCAGGTATTAGCACTGTGCTAATATTTTGATACGCTGATACTTAAAAAAATGCTTGGTTCTCGATGGATTTATCTTGATACTTGTGTTTGCCTGCAGATCCTACTCAGATATTCATTCTGCATGGATATTCTGATCTCATTTGTTTCTAATGTAATAATAAAAAAAAAAAGAAACATCTTTCTTCTTTTAACTCAGGGGTGTCTCTGTCTTCTGTGACCTCAGAAAGTGACTATGCTATTCCTCCAGATGCATATTCAGTAGATACAGACTGTTCAGAGCCAGAGCAGAAACTTCCGAAGACCTCTTCCTCATCTAGTGATAACGGAAAAAATGTGAGTACTGAAGTTCTGTGAAGAAGTGTACCTGTGGTGCTGTGTGTATATTTATGTTCAAAGTGGCTACCAAGTCACTATATTCAGTCTTGCTGACTCACAGACTGCCTTATGAGTACAAATAGCAAAATATACCAACAATAAGTTAGCCATATAAGACTATACTGATTGAAGGAAAGTGGAGGATAATTCTGAGCTTTCTATATAATGAATGGAAATAGGCAGATAATTCCAGAAGAAAGTTCAAAGTACTTAAGATTTTCCTTTCTTGGAACCAGATCTTATATCGAATTGCATATGAAATACTAAAATCACCTTATTTGAATATTCAGGGAAATAGGACATTCCACTGAAGGCACTGGAGGCATCAGTAGAAATCTATGTCCAGTAATATGTTTCTATAGCATTGCTCGTACAGGGAAAACAACTTTAGGCAGTAGAGAAACCATAAGTAGAGTAACATGTGAGGACAGGTCAAAGAAACCAAACCATTATGGGGTACTGGTCTGTTTTTTAATGGCCTATGTTAGTAGTTAGTGTCTTGACATGCAAGTGGATTGACTGCCTGGTGATTAAAATAATTTATTTTAAGCTTTCTTCACAAAGCAAAACTGTGAACTCTGTTCTACAGGTGTACACACTAGAAGTATGTCTGTGTGGAGCTCTGAATTACACTGCTGTATATATGGTGTGTAGGTTAGGCCCTGAAGTTGGGAAAAAATATATTTACATTATATTCATTTTGTTCCTTGTTTAATATAAATAACCAGAACGTAAAAACAGGAATCATCATATTCTTCATTCTTTTGTATAGTTCTGGGCAAATCCCTTACTCTCCTTCATGACATTAATTACTTATTCCAGATGCATGTCATTTGTCTTAATTGATGCTTGTAAAAACTTTGTTGTTGGACTAAAAGTCTCATCAAATACTGTAATTATTATTTAGCATGCTTTAAAGTAATTAAAATATCTGTATATGTGTGTGTGTATTTATACATATCTTTGAGGGGTATATGTGTGTACCTAACTACTTTTTATCTAACTTCTGAATAATCAGGAACCTTTGGAAAAATCTGGATATCTGTTAAAAATGGGTGGTAAAGTAAAGACCTGGAAACGACGGTGGTTTGTGCTTAAAGGAGGCGAATTACTATACTACAAATCTCCAGTAAGTACATGCAACTTACTTGCTGTTTAATATTAGGTTGTTTTTACTGAGAATCTAGGGCTGCTAGAAGGAAAAGAAATGCATTCCTGGTGTCTGAGCTGTTAGAGAGTAATTCATGACTCAGTTCCTCAAGAGGTGTAGAAAGTACTCAATGTCTAACTAGGAAGTGTTTATCAAGACTAATGGTTAAATGAGATCTATAATTATTTATTGCTATTTTTTGGTAGATTTAAAATATTCTTTTTCCATTCTTTCCATACAGAGTGATGTCATTCGAAAACCTCAAGGTCAAATTGAGCTAAATGCATCTAGCCACATTGAAAGGGGTGATGGAAAACAAACAATTCAGGTGCCTGCTTTTCCCATCTGTGTTTCAGTGGGTATTGATTCCCTCCATCCCCAAAAACAACCTCTTGTTCCAGTCCCTATTGCACTGGAAGTCCAAGTGTGGACTTGGAATTAATCAGTGCCCTTTGTCTGAAAGCAAAGAATCATTTCAGTTACAGACACTATAGAAAGGCCTACATGTAGTCTTGTTTGTATTGCAACAAAAGTCAGATCATCACATATGAGATATAAATGAAGAGAGTAGTCTTGGGGCCAGCCATGAGGGTTGAGAGAAGTTGTTTGTCTGAAAGGAGATAAATTGAGTTTTCTGAACTCTGCTGTCCTGGAACTTTTCAGATAAAGCCTTAGAAAGGCTCTGTCTGCTCTTCCTGGCCACAGACTGTTCCATTAATGAAAAGTACTTCGGGGAAAATAACCCCCCCAAAGTTGTGAAACCATATTGTGTAGTATATATTACAACCCCCACACTGTGGGGTCAAATGTATAATGTTCTTAAAGCTAAAGACTCTTCTGTTACTACACAGCTGACCACAGAAAAGCGAACATACTACCTAACTGCAGATTCTCCCAACATCTTAGAAGAATGGATCAAAGTACTACAGAATGTTCTTAAAATACAGGCAGCCAGCCCACTTTTCATACAGCCTGAAATCAAGCCAACCATGAAAGGATTACTTACAAAGGTAGGAACACTTGTCTTCCCCTAATCTCTTAAGAGTAATATCTGGATGAAAATGGCCCTACAATAAAATAAATACAAGGAAATCATATGTGTATTTGCTTTCCCAGTACTTTACAATGTGGATAATCCACAAGGACTACCAACTCATTTACTTTGGGCAATAACTGTTTGATTTGATTTGGTTTTTCTTTTTTGTCTTTTTAATTAATTTTTTCCTGTGTTGAGTTCTCCATTTGCACTTCAATGATATCCTAGTTCAGCATATGTTTCAGTAGCTAATTGACTTACCTTATTTCAGTGGCATACTCTCTTTTTCTGTATTACTCACCAGGACAGATTATTTCAAGTTAGTAAGAATATTGTATAAAAGGATTTTTTCTCTTTTATTTCTTCCATTTCCTTAACTTCCACTAATTTATGCTTGAAAGGCAAATGAAAATCTCACATTGGGTTTACTAGGCTTTAGACAAGGATCTAATGCTTTAATTCTTATGCCCTTAATAGTTACGCAGTTTTAATTATTTGTCTAGTAACTAATTATTTGTCTGGTGGAAAGGAATTTGAACCAAGGCATTTGTTCCCAACATCACCAAAGTTGAGAAATGGTGAAATGTGGTCTGTATTTCTCTGGCTGTGCTTATTCCTAATGTTCTGTAATTTCAGGTGAAACATGGATATTCCAAACGAGTTTGGTGTACCCTAGTTGGAAAAATTCTGTATTATTTCCGTAATCAAGAAGACAAGGTAAGTCCCTTGTTTCCTCAGTGAATGGAAGATAACATACTGAAGTAGGCTTTAAACAGTAAGTTACAGCTTTATTAAGGTACAATTGGCCTGGGTAGTATATGCCCATTTTATCTTGATAACCAAACATTTAGACTTCACAGATTGTCAACTTGGAAGGTTCCTATTTAATAGGCAGTAATCCAGGGCATGCCCGTTGGTCATCTTCTCCTACAGGACGTGATAGATATTCTGCATCTTCTTATCCCTAGCCAAAGGGGAACACTGATGTGCTGGCAGTTCAGGTCTCCCTTTCTGACAGGCATGAGACTCATCAGAAAAGACCTGGCTATCATTTACTTCTGGAAGCTGACCCTTTCTAATATATGTTCGCAGTGGGCATTGACTGCAAGTTTCAAGAAATTATCATCGTAGTGCTGCAAGAAAGGAAAAAAAAAAAAAAAGCCTAGCAGGATGCAGAGTTTGCTGCTTTGCAGATGTGTGTCTGTGGGGGAATCTGTTCCCATTCCCCATCAGTATTTCAGAAAAGGAGCTCACTGTCTACAACCGATGAGGTGCAAAAGGAAGGGATGATAAAATTCTTTCTAAATCCTAGGGAAAATACTGTTTGAGGAAGAAAAGGAAGAAATGGGATCCAATCAGCTTTAAGTTAACCTCCCAACATCCCATATCCTGTAGGACACAAGGAGCTAAGGAAGAGCAAGACTTGGCTCTTCCACATTGGGCCTGACCTTTAGTTCTCTACCCACACTTCTCAATATTGTTGGTCCTAATATTTCCAGTCAACTTTACCTAGAGAGACAGGACAAAGGACACTTCCTAGTCATACTTTTCACCTGTCCTTTCGCTCCCAAGGCATTGTATTTTGTCATCAAGAAACTTCTTGTGAATATTTCCCTCACATTTGGAACAAGTTTTGCTGCCCTTTTAAAGCAAAATTGAAACTAATTTGGTAGCTTGTAATAGAATAAGAATTTAGCTTTTGTAAGCAGAATATGTATGAAAAGTTTTCCAAAGCTCATTCATTTCGAATGTCAACAATTTGCTAAGTGAAAACACGTTTGCTGTAGCTGAATGTGTCTGTGTGGAAACAAATTACACAATCTGCAGTTGTGCAGTAATGGAGTCCATTTAAGTGGCCTCCTTTCAAAATGGCATTCCAATTAAAAAAATCAGGCAACTGTGTTTTAGTTAAACTTAGTGAATAAATCAGTCTTGAGACGGCATCTCTTGATTCTCAGAATCTTATCTTGTTCAAAAAGTTGAATGCCTCAGAAGCACTACAGTAAATACAAATCACCACATGCATCTTTACTCCTTACTAGTGAGAGCACTGGAATAAAGAGCCACTATGTGATGTTTCTTCAAAATGATTATATTATTAACTGCTCACCTAATCAAATGACTATTCAAGAAACCCACTGTAGATTGAGTCAAACTTGACAGCTACTCTCCCGTATTGTATTTTCAATTTTTAAACATTTTTATTGAGAAGCCTCATCTGCTTTTCACTGATGTTGATATTTCAAGACAACTTACTTCAGGCTTACACTTGAATGTGGCACAAGTAAGATGCTAGTTACTGTACTGCCCCACTATCCTTTTACCAAAGGGAAATAAACATTCCTCTCTGCTGAATCACTAAGCATTGCTTGACATCACAAACAACAAAGAAACAGTAGCCAAGGCTTCTTCACTACACCATTAAACACTCTTTTAAACATCCTGATGTCTGAAGTTAGAGAAAGAGCAGTGGTGCTGTGGGAAGGAACATCCTGATGTCTGAACAGTTAGAGAAAGAGCAGTGGTGCTGTGGGAAGGAACAAAAATAAAATATTACTGGCTATTAATTGCATAAAATAGTCCTACCCTTTGGTTGTCCACTGTCAGTCCTATCACCCAGTTGTGAAGGTGGCATGCTGTATTTGTGTTCATTGTGGGTTCCTGTTGATAATGACTATGAAATAATAACTTCTGTGAAAATTTCCTTTTAAATTACTTTTCATAGAAAGTATTTCCTGATAAATGATCATAAGTACCTCTACAATTTAAGACTGAAGTACAGTGATCTATCAGACTCAAGAATGAAACCAACTGAGAAGGTCTACCACACAAAAAATTTACCTTTTGAATTTATAGCATGAACAAAGGAGATACGTCAACACTGCACTGCTGTCCTCTGAAGTAACAAGATTATAATTAAAGATCTAGGCTTGACCCAGGGAGTTTTTGCTTGGAACCAGGTCTGGAAACTCTGAAGAATTACTTCTCTCACCCTAACAGACATTTAATGCATTTACTAGATACAGAAGCAGACCTGGAAAAGAATTCTTAAAAATCTCCCTTTCAGACTTCAGCACATATCACTCTCCTTCTGCTGTCTGCAACAGCTGGCTTATCTGACATTCCTTGGCAGGACTGAGAATCAATAAATGTAAATGGGTTTTGATGGTAGTTCATGTTTTTATTTCTATTTGTAGAATAAGGAATAAAATTAGTGTGCACTGAAGGAAATATTTACTCTCTTACTTCTGATATTTACTTTTAGTTTCCTCTTGGTCAAATCAAGCTTTTTGAGGCAAAGGTTGAAGAAGTTGATAGATCATGTGATTCTGATGAAGATTACGAGGCTAGTGGTCGCAGTTTATTATCAACACATTACACTGTTGTTATCCACCCTAAAGACCAAGGACCCACTTATCTTCTTATAGGATCCAAACATGAGAAGGTAATAAAAGCATTTTTTAATTGACTTTCAGTAACACGTCTATGAGTCTGGTGCTGTGATACAAGTATTTCTTAAAGACGAGGAGGAGGGGGACCTATAAGTCATCTGTCTTATAGTTTGATATAATAAGCAAGGAGAAGGTTCTGCTTCATTAACATTGATCAGAGTCTGTCTGTGAACCAATGCTAGTGAAGGTAATTTTAAACCAGATGAAAATAAGCAGGCTTGCCTACATAAGGAGATGGTGCAGAATATCAAATATGCTGTAATCGAAGAATTTTGCTCACATTACACTAAGTTGTACACAGACCTGTAGCAGACCTTCATGAGAAGTTTTGGGATACTGTTATCCATGTTCACTGATAAGACAAACAGTAGAGAAGACTGTAGTGCCCTACTGAAGTGAAGAGAAAATGAGAGGTATGATTAAAACCATTTTTATTATTATTGCTTCACTGTTCTCAAGTAATTTTGTAGACCTCATTTTGCTTTCTATCCTTATCCCCAGGTTAGCAGGATCTGGCAGTAACAAAAAGGCACTTACGTTAGTTTTCTGAAGAGGGAAGAACACCTTGATAGATAGTCATGATTTATGAGGGTAAAAGACTTCTGAAGAGAGCCCTGTCCAATGCTCGTTACTTAATACTTGTAACATAAAGTCACAATGAATACAGGTGTTGAAGCCCTTTGGGCTTCAACAGGAGCGTATGGCAGTGTTTCTTTCAAGTTGAGAGCAAGATATTGATGAAGCAGCTCGTTCCAACACAGAATGAGTGAGCTGCTGTGTGTTTTTCTACTTTAGGACACGTGGCTTTATCATTTGACAGTTGCAGCTGGAAGTACCAGTGTAAACGTTGGATCTGAGTTTGAACAACTTATTTGCAAACTGTTAAATACGGAAGGTGATACCAGTAAGTTTGGTTTTGTTTCAACATACTAATCTTCTAATGGTTATTTACCGAGTGTACTTATGTACTGAATTAATTGCAAAACCCACATATTTTATCTGTTTAGCTTCTCAGATTTGGAGACATCCTACCCTTTGCCACAGCAAAGAAGGAATTGCTTCCCCTCTTACAACGTTGCCATCAGAAGCCCTACAAACTGAAGCAATTAAATTATTTAAGGTAAAACCATAGCAGATGCCTTATTTATTTACTGAGTTACTATTTTAACTCTATTACTAATTAGCTCATAATAATTATATTATTATATTATTATATTAGCTCAAGAATGGCTGCTAATTGACTTACTAGAGATGTTCAACAGATAAGATAAAAGAAAGAAGTTTACTTTTATCTTCAGTGGAGGTAACTAATGGACAGTAGCAGAATGTCCCCACACTGTCTCACCAAAGAGTATCACTTCCTATGTAAAGAGATCACTTTTAGCTGTGAGGGAGCAGTTTAGGCTTCAACTTTTGGCCTTTCTACTGAGGTTATTGATAAAGTGCAAGTTAGTCAAAAAATCTGCGGCCATCATGGGTGAAAATAATTTTATCATGAAGTTCATAAGCCCCAGAGAACCTAACAGCATGGATGGATACCTGTATTCAGAGCACTTAATCTGAAATACTATTTTTTCAATTAGATTTCAGGAAGAGCAAATGGTAGGTGAAAGTTTTGTTGTAAATATATTTAAATCAGCTAGAAGATGTTTAAAAATCTGAAGAAAAACAAAACAAAGCCAAAGTTTCTAGTTTAAGCAAGTCACGGATTATTTCAAATTGAGATAGAAGGCAGAGATTCTACTGCTCTTTTTAATAAAATATTTTATTCATATGAAGTAGCTATTCTTAAAAGACTGATTAGGTATTCTAGTAATATAAATATAGAAACTATTACAGAGTAAAATTATTGAAAGTATATCACAACAGTTTTCTCAATTTTCATACACCTCTAAAAATACACCTTGTGTATCTCTGAGTAGTAGTGGAAATTTTTTATGATTAAGAGACATGTAATGGTTCATAATTGCTGTGCCGCAGTTAGCTTCTTGAGAATTCTTGTATGCCAGTAAAACCTTATATCCTTCACGGTGAAAGGCCTGATAGGTGGTTAGTATCTCTGAGAGGGAGTATGCTGCAAGGCCATTAACCTTCTTTCTCCTCTTTCCTGCCCTCACTCAGGTAAAACTACTCCTGAACATTAACTAATAGCCAGGCTATAAAGTCTAGTTCAGAGACAAAGTAAAATCTTGCTGTTCCTTTTTCTGTACATTGTTGAATAAACTACAAGTTGGAAGTCATAGCACTTGGATAAATGAACTTTCTCCACCGAACTTAGACAAGTCTAAAGACCAAATTCCCTGAAGCATCAACTATCTGGAGAATTTTCATGTAATGGTTCGAATCTAGAAAGGAATTCAAGACAAGCACCATGTGTTTGTTCAGTCACAGCCACTTGTAGGCAAACTTTCCAGCTTGTTTCTCTGAAATGTTTGAAGCACTTTAAAGAAGTACATCCATCTTATTTTCTGGAATCCTGCAGCATGGAAATTGAAAACGGACTGTACTTCTCTGATAAAAATAAATTTATATCTATTTGGAAATCACTTTCTGAATATATTTCAGACCTAATTCAAATCACAGACACTTGCCTAAAATAAATAAATGATGACTTTATGACCTTTATCGAAACTTTGTATAAATCAGTTTAAAAGTCAGGTAGGGAATTGATTAGATCAAGTCATGTTTCAGTTATTCCACTGCTGACAAAAATTAGTCCTATGCACCCACATATTTTCAGATAGACTAGATGTAGATTGGGCTTCCATCCATTTCTTGTATTTTTCTTATATACCTTGAAAATTCATCAGCTATTATATAGAGTGAATGCAATGAGTGATACGTAACGTTTCCTCTAATACGGCACAACAAATGCTTAACACTTGGCTTTCCTAAGACAGTATGGGCAATAGGAAAGGTTATACTTATACACAGTAAAAACAGCACTGAAAGCGAAGATGTAAAACAAATGGCTCTGAGTTACGGTTTTCTTATCTGTGTATATTCTGCCATGTTGTGCTCACTACTTGTACGAGCATTTTACACTGGCTGCCACTGAGAGCTGTGCACTTGGCATTTTAAAGTCCTGTAGAGGGGTAAGCTATGTTCAACCTGTCCTTAAACTTGCCTGCCACCCCAACTGTGGCAACTCCTGCTAAAGCTCGCTCCATTAGATATGGAGTGAAAAGCATGTTTTTTAAGAGGTGTTTTTATCTTAAGTGTCTCTGTATAGCTTTTCATCCATTCTGGCCCCTTTTCACCCCTTTTTCCAGGGCCGGCAGGGTTTTCTTAGTTTACTGGTAAACTGACTAATGGTGACTTCAATTATAGCACGCTTTTGTTATACAGAACATCTAAAAGATTCGTTGGACCTGTGTTGGTATGTAAACTCACTTGCTTATTATTTTATATCTAGACATGCCAGTTGTTTATAAATGCTGCAGTGGACTCTCCTGCCATTGATTACCACGTATCTTTGGCCCAAAGTGCTTTGCAGATCTGCCTCACACATCCTGAACTTCAAAATGAGATCTGTTGTCAGCTTATTAAGCAGACTAGACGTCGACATCCACAAAACCAGGCAGGACCGATACAGGTAACCCAGTATTTATTTTAATGGTATCTGTTTCAACAGCGCAGACTGTTTAGAGTGGTAAAGGGGCTCCACACTTCTGTAGCTTTTTTTTTTACTTAAAATCAGATAAAAACCTGAAATAATATCTTATTACTACTGTGTCTTCCTGAAACAGAGCTGATGCTATCCTCCATCAAAAGTACGATAGAGTATATCTGTGCCTGTGTTGTTTTTAAAGGCTGGACATACAATGGGCTATCTTCAAGTAAATTGTTAAGTAAGACATCGTGTATGGAACCTAATTCTCTTTTACTGCATCTTTCCCAAGAGAGGTGCTGCATCATACATATAGAGCAATGAAAATATACCAAAATATTGAATAATTGTTTTTTTCAATAGTTACTATCTGCTTGGTGGGAGGAAAATGTCTTATGGGTTGCTTCATAATATATATAATAGAAGAGGCGAATTAGTGCTTGGGCCTTGCAGCCTTATTATTTGTATAAAAAGCATTTAATACACAGGAAAAAAACTGATCTGCTTTCTCATTCCAGACCTGAAAGAAACCTGCTTTACACAAGTAAAATAGAGAGCATTTTGGCCTTCCAATGAGATGACATGCTTATTTACTCAGCTTTTTCTCTGTGCTTTGTTTTTTTTATTCCTATTTACAGCTGTCTGTTACTCAACTTGGCACAGTAAGCTGCAGTGCTGGCCAGCAGCCACAGCAGGAAGTTTTACTTTGTAAGATGTTTAAAACAGTGAATGTCTTCTGTTTGTGCAGGGCTTGCAGCTCTTGGCTCTCTGTGTTGGACTCTTTCTGCCCCAGCATCCATTCCTTTGGCTTCTTAAACTTCACTTAAAGAAGAATGCAGATTCCAGGTGTGCCTGAATGTTATCACCCAGCTAGTTGACTACTTTTTCTAAAATACCTTATTTTCAATCTTTCATTTAATATTTCAGATATTTTGACATATTAAATTTGAGTAGAATTGTGCTTCAGTGCTATTAAAATGTAGTACATGTTACTTCTATGCATCACTTGGGAAAGTTATCCTTTTTTTTTGAAAAATACTCTGCAGTGGAACTCTGACTGTATGTTGCAAAACCATGAAAACCAAAATATGGCAGTTACACAAAACACCCTGAGCCATGTTCATCTTTGGCACAATTTTGTTGGGTCTCGGTGGACTAACTCTCTTTGTAATTCCACATGGAAAAATGTGTTGGAAATCTTGCAGTGAAATCTGAGTAATCCTCCGATTTGGCACCCCCAGAGAGATTTACTCACAGTTTACTATCCTTTCAATCAGTTCCCAAGAAATGTCTTATTTCTCTTTTTGTCACAGGACTGAATTTGGGAAATATGCAATATATTGTCAGCGATGTGTAGAGCGTACCCAGCAGAACGGAGACCGAGAAGCCAGACCTTCCAGAATGGAAATCCTTTCTACTCTTCTAAGAAATCCCTACCACCATTCACTGCCCTTCAGTATTCCAGTTCATTTCATGAATGGCATATATCAGGTAATGTCAGGCAGACCACAAAATCTGAGCTCTCCCAGCCCCTTGCTATTAGCTCATACATGAAGTAGTACACCAGAAACAGAATGGTAAGTGTTAAGGTAAACATGGTTTAAGTTTCATCCTGTGCCAGTGCTAGCAATGGCAGGCACAAGGTAACTGAATCAGATTTGATCAATGAAGAGTAAAGGTTTGAGGGAAAATCTTTAAAAGAAAGAAAAAAAAATCAAAACCTCTCAAGAGTGAGAAATAATAAAGTTCTGTTTCTTATTTAACCTGACCTTCAGCTGAATGAATTAGACTGAAGAACAGGGAAAGGTATTAAATTCCACTTCCTTTCATCAGACATCTTGAAAGTTAAATATCTCAGTGAAGGCCTGGAAGCACACTTTTAACTCCCATTATCAGTCATGAAGGATAACCATTTGTTACAGAACAAACACAACTTCATTCTTATTCTTTTGGGACTTAGTCAAAGCCTGTAGGAAATTTTCCATGGGCTTCCATGCAGTCTGCTTCACATCCTGGTTTGTGTTTCTAAACGTGACAGCTGGCTGAAATAGTTTTTTTAAAAATTCACAGTATTCGTAGACAGAAAGCAAGTTTTTGAATGAAATCAAAACTATACCAAATAAACGTTCCATTTCAGGTCACAGAAGAACTCTGCTTTTTTTCCCCTCTACATTTCTTAATTGCTTACTCCTTGCCCAGTAAAACAGAAAAAAACCACATGTATTTAAATCATCCTAAAAGGTTTCAAAATTGATGTTTGAAGAAGAAAAGGAGTAACTGCTCATTAGTTATTTTTTGCTCAAAAATGTACACTTAAGAGTTATGAAAACTGTAATAAACTAAATCAATTACTTCAGTGGGATCAGCAAATAACCAATTATAGTGGTATTGAAAACTCTTGTATTCATCTCTAAAGCTAGATTCAACAGGTATTTTTTTAAGTCCCACCACTGAGAAGCCCAAAATAAAAGTCCAATATCCTTTTTCATGATATTTCTTTACAAAAAAGAGGTAAGGGGCTTTCTTCAACATATCAAATACAGGAAAACACCATCAAAGTAGATATAAGAGAACATCAGCAACTAGTATCTGTATAAAAGCCATTTGCCATCTCTTGCTAAAATGCTTTAATACTAGTAACAACAGACAAAAATCCAGATTTGGGAAAATAAAACTTAGAAGGCTCTCTGTATTACTGGCTTATGTAGTACTGACAGAGCAACATTTGTAAAATATTTCAGAACTGCCAGTAAATACCCCTCTGAAGTTGGACAGGATGAAAAATGATTAATTGATCTCATTTGTTTCACCACCATATTGAAAAGTGTAGGAAGTTACAGTTTTCTTCTGGTATTTGTCACAAAAAGCTCAGATACTAGACTGCTTTCTGTTATATAAATTCAAGTGTAGCAAGTGTAACGGAAATTCAAGTGTAGCAAGTGCAAAGAAACTAGTATAAACAAAGAAAAGAAAACAAAAATATTACATTTGGAAGCTTTTTGATAGTGACTTTGGTTTCATAAACAAACTGCAGTAAGGTATAATGTGCTGGGAAGTTTGTCGATTTTTGGATGGAGAAAAACTCCACTAAATTGACTTCCCATGTGGAGATCCTGAATCTTTTCCAAACTCAATAAGACAGGGGATAGAATGGTTCTTTTATTGTCGCTGTTATTCTAGAGGTATTACCCTTCAATATGTTAGATTTTTTTTTGGCGAGGGGGAATTGGGGTTTTTTAATAGGTTTGATAGCAAAATACATTTTGGCTGCTTTTTTAGGTTGTTGGGTTTGATGCCTCTACCACAGTGGAGGAATTTCTGAACACCCTGAACCAGGATACAGGAATGAGGAAACCAGCTCAGTCAGGATTTGCACTGTTTTCTGATGATCCCTCTGGCAAGGATATAGAGCACTGTCTTCAAGGAAACATCAAGGTAAACAAAAACCTTTAATGAGCTCTGCATATAAAACAACAAATTATCTTCATTTTACAGAACTCTCTTCAGACAATGTAAAGGAAAACATTTTTCAGGCTGAAAATTGTCCTTAGTGTTTTTTTTCTTAAAACGTAAAAGGAAAGATTAAAAAAATACATCACTTTTTCAATTGCTGAAATTCATTCAGTGAACTATATTTAAAAGCTTTGTCTTGGAGACTGATATTATTCATAGAAGTAGCAGCTGGGTTAAAAAAGAAACAGTAAGCTGTTACTAATCACAATCCTTTAAAACTAAAAAGCAATTGGAGTCCAAGATGCATTTAGAGATTTCAGTTAACATTTCTTGTATAGCTCCAAAAGATGACCATTTGAGGTCCAAAAAGTCATTCATACTGGGGAAGAAAAAAAAGAAAGGGATTATAGAACCACAGAATCATAGAATGGTTTGGGTTGGAAGGGACCTTAAAGATCATCTCGTTCAAACCCCCCCTGCCATGGGCGGGGACACCCTCCACTAGACCATGTTGCCCAAAGCCCCATCCAGCCTGGCCTTGAACACTTCCAGGGAGGGGGCATCCACAGCTTCTCTGGGCAACCTGTTCCAGTGCCTCACCACCCTCACAGGCAAGAATTTCTTCCTAATATCTCATCTACCTCCTTCAGCTTAAGGCCATTACCCATTGTCCTATCACTACATACCCTTGTAAACAGTCCCTCTCCAGCTTTCTTGTACTGGAAGGCTGCTATAAGGTCTCCCCAGAGCCTTCTCTTCTCCAGGCTGAACAAGCCTAACTCTCTCAGCCTGTCCTCATAGGAGAGGTGTTCCAGTCCTCTTATCATCTTCATGGCCCTCCTCTGGACTCGCTCCAACAGCTCCATGTCCTTCTTATGTTGGGGGCCCCAGAGCTGGATATGGTACCCCAGGTAGGGTCTTACAAGAGCTGAGTAGAGGGGCAGAATCACCTCACTTGACTTGCTGGCTATGCTTCTTTAGATGCAGCCCAGGGTATGGTTGGCTTTCTGGGCTGCAAGCGCACATTGCCAGCTCATGTTGAGCTTCTTGTCCACCAACATCCCCAAGTCCTTCTCCTCAGGGCTGCTCTCAATCCATTCTCCACCCAGCCTCTATTTGTGCTTGGGATTGCCCTGACCCATGTGCAGGATCTTGCACTTGGCCTTGTTGAACTTCATGAGGTTTGCACAAGCCCACCTCTCAAGCCTGTCAAGGTCCCTCTGGATGGCATCCCTTCCCTCCAGCGTGTCAGCCGCACCACACAGCTTGGTGTCATCAGCGAACTTGCTGAGGATGCATTCATCCCACTGTCCATGTTGCCAACAAAGATGTTAAACAGTGCCGGTCCCAATACTGACCCCTGAGGAACACCATTCATCACTGTCATCACTGGTCTCCACTTGGACATCGAGCCATTGATCGCAACTCTTTGAGTGTGAACACCCAGCCAATTCCTTATCCACCGAGTGGTCCATCTGTCAAATTCTTCTGTCTCCAATTTAGAGACAAGGATGTCGTGCAGGACAGTGTCAGATGCTTTGCACAAGTCCAGGTAGATCCTTATCTAAATACAGAATATTTCCTTATATAAATACGGAATAATTAGGGTTCAATTCAGGAAATTTCCAATATTTGGCTTATCATTGTTCTGAATTCTGAATTTTAGTTCCTTCTATTGTACAATTAAATAATTTGCAATAAAGACTGGCAAAATGCACTATAATCTGTGCTTCAATAAAACCTTACATGCTTTTCAAGCTTTTTAGCAACTAATGAATAATGAATTTTTTGTGTTTCCATCAAGCAGTTCTTTCGCACCCTTTGGCCAGTGTTCACAGCTGCACTTCGAGTTACAAGGTGCAGTACAGCCAGGCCTTAGTGACAAACAAATCAGGGTCATCATGATCAGCTCTCTTCCCCTACTAAAATAATTACCATATGGAAAGCAAAATGTATTAAAAATGTACTTATTTTCTTGGTAAATGCAACTTCAGAAGCTGGTCACATTACTGATTCCAGAAAGACTCTTTTATGAAGGAATAGTGACATGAAGCCCAGCAGGGCTCCCAGGACCTCCACTTAACCTCCTCCCCATCTGCCCACCTACCCACCCACACCACTTCTTGAGAACCACTCTTGCTGCAGTTTATAACAAACTTCGTACAAACTTTATAGCAGTTACTAGAAAGGACCTGAAAAACTCCAGAATGCAGCAGCAGGAGAAGGCAGAGATCAAAGGCATTTGATTAATTATATAACTCATGCTGCATAATTACACATTCATTGGCTGCTGCTAAATCAAGTACCTGGCCTTTCCATATAAGCATGTTAATGGCTCATTTCCAAAGGTAGCGTGTGTGTTGCAGGATAAACAAACAACAAAAACGTTAATTATTAAATGCTCCAACTAAAAATGCAAGTAATGTTATCTTTCAGTAAGTTTAAAAATTCAAGCTATGTATGTTTCTGATATGTAATAGGTAAAAGATATTAAAATAAGTAGGCAACTTCCATTCAAAGGTGTTTTGAAAGAGGAATACATGGCAAAGTCAGCTTTGTATTGCTTTCCTTCTAGATCTGTGACATTATTTCAAAATGGGAGCAAGCCTCCAAAGAACAACACCCTGGGAAATGTGAAGGCACAAGGACTGTCCGGCTTACTTACAAAAATAGGTTTGTATAGCAAGTACAACAGCTCTGCCTTGTCCCAAGATTATTTTCAATTTCTGCAGACTTTCTTCATCTGAAAATTACTGGCTAACTCAATGCTTGCAACAAAAATAGTAAATGGGTATAGTTAATTTTTTTCTAGTTCTTAAGAGGTGAGCAGGGCTGCCAAAAAAAAAAAAAAAAAAGGCAACACTGAACTCAGAAGACTGAAATTAAATATTTGCCCACTGGTTCAAGTACAAGTGTTGCTCTGCTAATGTGTTTTGACACTGATGTAAACATGTCACATTCAGAGCAGATACTGCTAATCCTTAGAGCTAATGCATTTCCCTATCTTCTTTATTTAATAACTTTCTGTCTTTCCTATAGGCTTTATTTTTCAGTTCAAGTCCATGGGGAGACAGACAGAGAGAAGCTGCTGCTAGTATATCAGACAAATGATCAAATAGTCAATGGACTTTTCCCCGTAAACAAAGAACTAGCAATGGAATTGACAGCTCTTTTAGCTCAGGTAATCCTTGTGCATTAATGACTCACACAGCAGTTTTACAGATGAAAAACTTGAAATAAACTTGAATAAAGAAACTGGTCCAGGATTGCTTGACCTTCACCTTTTACACACGATAGTGCAGGAAGTGGGCTGGGCTGGAATCTTTGTGTAAGGCTAACTCTGTACTTCGGTGGAAATGCTTTACAGCGTATGCTGCTGTTGGCACTAGTATGGATAAAACGTGCTTTACCTCCTACACAGTCAGGCCCTCTTTGATTAAATATCATGTAATCATGTACCGTTTCTTCATTCACTATTCCTTCACCTGATTTCTGCAAGTTAATACACCAAAGTAACAGCTGTTTAATGAAAGCCTAAGACTCCTCTACTAGACCTGGTCTTGATAAGATCTGTTTTATTTTTAAGACATTAAAGGCTCAAGGGAAGGTTATTGAGAAAGTTATTTCATGGTTGATGGTGTTACTCAATAAATCTAAACTGTTTTGTGTCAGCTGGAGATCTAGCAATCTCAGAGCAGAAGTAGTAAGTATTATATTTGTACACTTTATACTTGATCTTTATCTTTTTTCCATGGTAAATATAAAATAAATAAAATTACTTGCATGATTTTTGTATCAGTGAAAAATGTATATTAATTGACAAGCTGGTTTTCATTTTATATTTGGTAAGACAGGGGAAAAGATAGCTCCTAATACCCAGCTAGCAAATTACTCTGGAGTAACAAAAAATTTTCTTTTTCGTGGTCTTTCCCTTAGATAGAGATTGGAGATTTTGAACGGCCTTTCTCAACTCCAGCAGGGCAAGTCACTTCCCAGTCCAAGTCCAGTCAAACATTGAAACAAGTTTTGGAAAGATTCTACCCTAAGAGATACAGGCATGGTTGTTCAGAGGAACAATTAAGGTGAGATGTATTTTGTGATTCATATTCTCTAAAAATCTAAGAGTGAAATGAGGAGGTTTTAAATTGTCATGAGGTACAACTGACTGTTACGCTATATTTAATGAAACCTGTGTTCGAAACTCATTTTCTTACTAAACTGAAGAAGCCATTTCCTCTGTATATTTCTAATCTAAACAGAGGACCATCATTAAGCACGCATTCCAGCAAAAGCTGTACAAGTTACTACATAGTGTTACGAAACCCAGAGATTTTGAAATTCCTATTTTTCTTATTCAGCAAATCTAAATTAAGTCTGTGCACAGACTAAAGTACTACTGAAAGTAAAGGACACGAGGATCCGATCTGACTGACTGCTATTCAAATGTGAGATCTCTGGCAGCCAGTCAAACTGGCAATATGTTAACTTAGTGGACTTGCTAGTAAGGTATCACTTAATTTAAAACAAATAATCTGCAAGTCATTTCAATCAACATCTATTAACATAAAGAAGAGTGGAACAGTGCAATAAATTATCCAAAGTCAATGATACAGCAATTTTGAAGTCCAGTAAACATTACAGAAATGTTTTCCTCATTCTTCACTAGAGGGTTGAGAAAGTTTAAAGCTATTATCATTTGCACAAAGTAACATTATCACATACTCAGTAGATAATAGGGACATTCAAAAGTATACATAAAACAAATAGAAAGTTTTACAATTAATTTCAAAGAACAAAGTGTAAGAGGTCCTAGATTAGACTAACTCATGGAAGATAAGTCAAACGTCTGTTGAACTGTTCAAGTAGTCCCTAAACTACCAATTGCCAGAGCTGGAAGTCTGTGGCAGGGAAAGAATCACTCCATACTTGCCCTGTTTCTGGTATTCTTTTGCTGAGGGTGCAGTTTGACTTCATAAACTTCCAGAGACTAAGCTGCAAGTGAAAGATCTCCCTTTACCATTTACTCCCATTCCCCCCTCCCTTTTCTTGGGCTGCATCTAATAATCTTGTGGCTGCCGGGTGAGTCATTCCTGCAAGTCAATGTGCTAGAAAGGTATTCTAGGGTGGGTTTTTTTGGAGGATTAGTTTTCCATAGGATCATTTTATTGAACCAGCTCATCATGGGGCCACAAAGGAGCCAGTGTGAACGCATCATGCATCAGAAGCACCCTTTTTGGTAGCACTGCCCAGATACGCTAAAAAAGAGTAGTGTTGAGCTGTATCTTCCACATCTACTACTAGCCACAGGTAAAGATATGTGCTGAGCTTGATGGATTTTTGGAATGACAACTGGCATAGCTGCTGAGTACTGATAAAGGTAGATTGATTATCTGTAGAGAAACATTAAAAGCTGTACTAGACATTTTCCCTTCATGCTGCAACTGCTGCATCACTATTTAATCATAATGTTGCAGAAATTAGAAGATATTTCATAATTTGCATGTGCATAAAAACATTAAATGATGTTTTAGATTTATTTAATACTATATAAGTGATAGGTGTATTAAATTATCATTTTAACAAATGGAGATTTTTTTTTTTTGCTCATTAAACTCACTATGGGTAAGCATTTAAATTCCTTTCAATAACTAAATTACATATTTCATTTCAACAGACAGCTTTGTCAGCGATTGTCTACAAGATGGATGGCTCTCCGGGGGCACAGTGCTGCAGACTGTGTGCGCATTTATCTCACTGTAGCCAGAAAATGGTCTTTCTTTGGTGCTAAATTGTTTGCAGCAAAAGTAAGAAATTTTACTGAGTTAGAGTTAAAATATAAATGTAATTTGCAAAAAGTAATACCTCTTTGTTGAAAATGAGTGTGTTATACATGTGCTGATTGAATCTCTTGTCACATTACTGATTTAAGCCATATACTGGTGAAACGTAATAGTCATAGTACTAAGTATACCATAATAGTAACCTTCCAATATGTTTTTCATTTTCTTATACTTTTGTTTGAGGTAGCCTTTTTGTTTCAGACTTTTTTTGCCTGATAACTAGTAGAATATCGAAGAGGCATCATTAACTGGTTATGGAAGCTGAACCTTGCAGAAACATTAAATGTTGTTGAGGGTATTCAGAACACTCCCTTCTGTGCTGGCCTCTCTCAATTTCTCTTAAACCACTAGTATCGTAATTCTCTTGATTCAAATAACGGCTATGTTAAACAAAACTATCATCACCTCACCCCTAACGTTTTATTAGGTAATCCCAGTGTGTGTGTGTGTGTGTGTGTGTGTATAAAAAAATTGCTTATCAGCACTCTGTTCTTTGCATATGTAGACATACGTGCTAGTGAACAAACTTTAAAACACCTGACAGGGTTTTTTTATTTTATTAATGAAAATATACATTTTATTGGACTAAGCACCAGGGAAGGTTTCAAGAGTATTAGGCTGAGTTCATAGTTCTGCCACTGGCCACCTACATGGCTTTGGGCAGCTACTTCAATTCCTTTACATCAGTTCCCTTCCAGTGTAAATCTCAGTAAGATCTGTGGTTGGAGAGAGCTCTATAATAGCTGATAGTTAATTATTTACATATTGCCTCATTTTGAAGCAGTAATTAAAGAACTTTCTCTTTGTAGCCTCTAGCTACATCCTCAGTTGAGAAGTCCTTCATATGGTTTGCAGTACATGAAGACGGCATAAGCATCCTAGATTACAGCTCTATGGTGAGTGAAGTTTCTGTTTTAATTTTGGTCAAAGTGGATTTTAATACTGAGTATATTGAGAGATTCGCCGCCATACTACACAAAAGATGGCATTAGCCTTCCATGCTAAGTTATCTAGTCTTTTTCTTAAATCAAAAATTCACTCCTTTCAAAATGCTTTAATGTTGTCATCACTATAGTAGCACTAATAATAGAAATAAGTAATGAATTCTTTGTACAGAATTTATTTTTGTTTATCAGATACAGTTTTTATATCTTTTAATGAAATGTTAATGTTTTAATCATTCAGATGTCAGGAGATCCATAGTTACAGTTCTCACAATAACATTAATTTTCTTTTCCCAGAGACTTCATTTTCCATTATTATTCATAATACATATACTCGGCAGAGAGCAGTTACTTTAAAAGATTGTTATTTTCATTGTATTATTTTTGTTTAATAGTAGGTAATATAACCCGGTGTTATTTAATTATGTCATTTTAGTCTCTGATTTTTCTTTGATTTGCAATAAAAGTTTTCACAGAAAACGACTCATGGTAATCACTGTAAAAAAGCAGTGCCTGAGAAGATCCCTGCTTTAGTTTATCTCCTGCAAAGAAACAGAATGGCATGGTGCTATTAGCAAGTGCTAATATTGAATATCAGAAAATTAAAATCTCAACTTTATAATGGTACTGATATGGGCCTTTTCATTACATTTCTTTGCAGTTAAATAATAAAACAAAGAACATGAGAAGAGCAAACAGCAGCTCTGTTCAGAACAAGAAAAATGAGCTTGCGTCAGACTGCAGAAAGCTCTATAAACACTGTCTACTCATAGAGCTAGCTATGGCATTTCTGCAGAGCACTGCCAGTTTACAATATCAGTAGGTCTTACTTGCCATTCAAGAAATATTCCATTTCCAGGGAATATTCTTATTTTCTGTAGGAAGGATTAAGGGTATCAGAAATGATGTTGCAAGGGGTAGTTAGAGAAAACAGTATTTCAAAATAAGGGCAAAAAGAGATTTAGTAACTGAAGGACATTACGTCACTTATTGTACAGATATTGTCAGACAATGAATTTTAAAAGTGAACATCCGCAGCGAATTAATATGAGCTGTAATGATAAATTAAGAGCTAATCATAGGCTCAAAGGCCACTAGTGTGGTGTTGAACACTGAACCATAAGAGCTGAGGCATGGAAAGCAGAGGAGCCTTGAAGAGCATTTATGTTTCATCAGAGGTGTGAAAAAAAGAGAACAGAATTTAATTTCATTTGTGTGTATGTTAACTACATCACTGCACAAAAGAAGTCCTGGAGTTAAATCCCTTTAGATGTCTCATGCTCTGCTATATAATTTATTTAGGCACTGCTTCAATTTCAAATAGAACTCCTAAGATTAACTTCTCTCAAAGTTAGTCAAGACTTGTGTAAATTGAATTACACACTTGAGTTGAAACCTGCTTATAATTAATTTGGAATAGAAACAGAGGTCAAACTTACAAGAGTTATCATCTGCAATGGAAATTCCTCGTAGTGAAGTTCTGAATGAAGCTATCCCCAAATTTACAATTTATTTCAAGATTCATTACAGGCTAACAACATTTTGAAAAATACACATGTAGTTGCATTTTTGAAAGAAGTATTTGTCATAATCTGTTCTTCCTGCATTGTCCTACTTATAGCTTTGTGTTTTGTTTTTTGGGTTTTCTTTTTTTAAGCGATTAACAGTTACATATACATATAAGAGTCTGATGACTTTTGGAGGCTATCAAGATGATTTTATGTTGGTTGTTAACAATGCTCAGACAAAGGACAAATCAACTGAAAAACACCTTTTTGCCATGACAAAACCAAAGGTTGGTATATTACCTGAAATAGTTTCCCACCATCTGATACTTCTCTACTTTTTGTAGTGGGTAATCCTTAACAGATGTGAAAGATGAAACACCTTCTTTATTCCTAGAATTCTCAGATTATTGACTTTTTCCAGATGGTTTTAGAGAGTGAAACAATTAGTAATATAAGAGCTAACAGTGACAATACTGATATGTTCCTTTTCTTTTAACGTCCCTGTCTATAACATTCCAAATTTTTCACAGAAGGACAAAAAAGGCTATTAAGGACAGGAAGTATATGTAGTACCTAAAAACTAGTCCGCTTGCTTGGTGAGCACCAGAGGTAATTTTTAAGAAGGTACATTTGTGTTCTACAGACAAATTCATTGGAAATGTAGAACACAAGATCTGAAAGATCAGTCACTTCTTAAAAATCCTAGGATATTTTTACCTTTGGTAAAGAAACTGTTCATGTTTTTTAAATCTAGATTCTCTCCTTCACTGGTAAGATTGTATTTTTTTAAAAAGCAAAGATTTTGAAGTCTTTTGCTGTTAGTCATAACCATTTATGAAACAGAATACAAAATTCCACATATAAATTTGGGTCAAAACACGACACTTTATACAAATATGCATAGTAAAATACCCCTGTTCAAAGTTCCCTCAGACTATGCCCTTAAAGGCAAGGTTGTGTGGATTACAAAGAGAAAATATGGTAAAAAACTCCCAGAAGTCTTTATTCCTTTTATCTATGTTTTAGTTCTCTGAGCACTAGATATTTTCTAGCAAAATTGAGGGAACACATCATGAAAGCTTTTTCTAAGAGTGTCATCTTTCGGACGTCAAAATCTCTCTCAAAGTGAAAGAAACCATCTGTTTGAATCATTTAAGACTGTGGAAGACAAGGTATCCAGCATACTGATGGGAATAACATTACATTATTGGCAAGGAGCAATAGAAAAAAGCTCTATTAGGCATCTCCTCTCTCCTCATCGTTAATTTGTTTGATAAAGTACAAGTACTTTTCTAGTTGATGGTGATTGTCACTTGCTAAAAAGTTAGCTATTTTTTCAGCAGTCAAAACACATCACTATTTCTCAAAGAATTTTGTATGTTCCTGTTACAGATTCTTGAGATCACTCTACTGATTGCCAGCTATATTAACAACTTTCATCAGCTGAAAGGAGCTGCTCATCACCTCTCTGCTCCGGCATTACTGACACCTCAAAGTGGACAGAAACTCAAGGAAATGGGGAGTCAGCCACTTCTTGCAAACAACAGACCAACTAAATGTCCCACTTTGTTATGAAAGGATTATGTATTGTGATAATGCATCTTTGGTACAGGGTTTCTACACCAATTGAAAACTTTTTGATGTACAAGACATAGAGGATAAGCAGGTCCATAAACAAAAGAAAGGGAGACAGGTTTATATTCATTTCAATGGTATATAACAGGAGGAGTCCTTTAATTAAAACCCTGGCCTGAACTGGAATGATGATGAGCCAATTTAAGGATTATGTTTTATTGTGGGTGGCTTGTCCTTACAACTCAAAAATAAATCTGTCTCTTGATAGTGATGGGGAAAGGTCGCCTTGGGAACAATTGTATAGGTTTTAGTAGGTTTCCAGATACTTACTCAGGGACCAAACTGTCTTCAACTCTTCATCTCTATTTTTCAAAATTATACAATTGTATAACTTTCATTTTGAAAAGGAATTTTTGTTTAAAAAACCAGTCAAATATGAAATATTTTTCACTTCCAGCACCCCTCCCTATTTGCAAAACAAGCAGCATGGGACTAAAAAGAAGGAATTGTTTGATTTGTATAATTGTTTCTTCTTTAAAAAAAATGCATAAGCACATCATGTAACTATTATAAATTTAAAGAGTATTCTCATGATACACTGTAGCCTTTGTTATACAACTATTTTACTTGGCAAATCTTCAGCCTTGGTCTGGTAAATTTCTAAATAATCCCTCTCTGCCCCAGCCTTTTGGAAGAATCTAAATTGGACAGGCACTGTATCAAGTATAGTTTTGTTAAACAAGATCCCGTAGCTAATTTCTTCTTTAAGCCATAATAATAATATAATACAGATGCAAGAATAACTCAGAATTCAAAACACAAGAATAACACAGAAAGCCATTGCTTGAACTATATAAACTTGGACACATATGTGACATATGAAATCCATGTATAATGTGTATAATGTATATACATTGATTCAGAAAAATATTTTGTAAAAGTTGTACTTCTTTTTTTTCATTTGTATATATACATTTCATATTATAATACTAATATAATGTTCTCACACACTGAAGACCTAATGCTGCATCTGCACTATCGGACCTAGGAGCACTTTCCTTTCTCAGCTGCAAGCCTCAGTGCTACCTAGGGTCAAATATATAGAAATTACACCCATTTTTTTCTGCCAGGCCTCACCTCACGGAAACCTTTGTTGCCGTGCAAAGAAACCACTTCTGCAGCCTCTGAAATGGATCAGCAGCATACTCTTAATAGAGAATTTAGATCCAAGCATAGAGAAGGTAGTCAAAAATAAATCAGTGATTTGTATACATTTCACAATTTCCACTTCTACTCATGCTAATGATCATGGATCATTAATCACTTACTGCTAGCCCTCACTGTTTTGTTTTGGTTTTTAATTACTTAACACTGAAGTAATTTCACAGTGATGAATTTCAATATTTGAAGGTTGGCTATCTTCTTTGTTTTATGCCATTTAAATATTTCAGATATACACATACTCGAGAGAAAAAAAAATTTCAGCTGTTTGCCATCTGTGAAAGCTAGGATGTATCCCTCTGAAGAATTAGAATAGACTGGAAGGGAGATACAGGTTGTGAAAAGAACATACTTTTTAAAAGTGGAAAGACAAACTGGCACGCTGACTTGATAAATACGTTTCTTCTGCAAGCTCTCAAAGTCCTGCCACGGCTACGGTCTGCACCCAGACAGTGCCCCAGCCTGAGTCTGCAGGACTCAAGCACCATTTTATGAATGGTGTCAATGCTTTATGGGCCAATGCTTTATCTTGAAAATTACAAGCAAGTAACAAACACACTGTCTCTAGCTGTTTTCACATTTGCAATGCAGGAAGAGCTTCCTGGTAACTGTCACCCTTTGGTGGTGGCCCTAGAACCTTCTCTTTCAAGGAGGCGGGGCCAGCAGCAGAAGGTTTAGCTCCTAGTGGGTGGCCCATCTCCTGCCATCATCAAGGAAAACATACTGGAAGTCATGAGAGACCTTGGCACCAACTGCAGCATCTTTTTGTGCAGCACCCCATGTGAAGTGATGCAGATACTGTGGTGAAATTGAGTTAGGAATTAACATCTCTTTGCAATCAGCAGAATAGTTAACTTTCAGAGATTTGAGGGGGGCAGGGCAGTTGCAATTCAGACAGATGCTACTGCATCAGTTATACTCAGGTTGTAGTCTAAAGCTTCTCAAATATGATTAGAAACCTCAATTTACAAAACCAAAAAATCTTCATGTCATTGTGAAATGATAACTCTCAACCTAGACTACTCCAACTAGTAATTCTTTCCTAATTGTCCAGTTTTAAATGAATGTGGCAGATCAGGTTCTATTAGAAGGCAAAAAAAAGTGGAGTGTTTTGCTAGTGAGCTTGTTCATGTAGTTTTTAAAATCTTTGTTAAATTTGGAGACAACACGATACACAATACAAACAGCTGATGTGCAGATTTTGAATCTTTTAAACAGTTTGCATTAGCGCAGCCTTACAAACAGATGTTTTATAAAGCAGTATACAATCTATGGAGTATGACCTTCCTGCCTGCCTTTGGGTAGGTAACTCTATAGACATGGCTTTGCTTTTCACTGTTAAGCTCTTGCTGTTGGAGTGTATCCCTGCATCAGTGCCAGAAGCAATCCATGCCTTAGTTTCCCTTTTTTTGGCAGCACTTTCCAGACTTACTACCACTAACTGCTCATTATAGGTCACTATTAATCCCATATAGTCACCAGAAACGCCGTGTTAATTTTTAAGAAATAAATGCACTCAGAATCACAGTTACCATGACAACACTGCACTAAACAATGAAGTTTCTTTCAGGATTTTGATTAGCAAGAGTGAGGTTTCTGTAGTATGATAGTAACCTCCTCAAGCAGATACTTCCCTTCAAGTTAAGTCACCAAGTGAAGTCTCTTAAACATGCAAGCACATGTCAACAGCTCAGCTTGCAAACACAGCTGTGCAAGTCTCAGGGGGACTCACTCCATGTTAATCTAGCTCTAGAGCTACTTAGAGGATACCACACAATGTAAGACAGCAAAGCTGAAAATTTCAGTGTCCAGGGAGATAGGCTGTTCTGCCTTCCCCCTCCAGCCCAAGCCTTATGAGTGATCCACACCTCAGCCTTAACCTTGAGTCATCCACCAAATCAATTCATACTGTGCCACCTAATCCATGACTAAAGCCCACGTAGGAACTAAGACCTTTCTCACCTTCTAATCCTCAGCAGCTGTGATACGATGGAAGCTGTCAAATGAGCTGCGACCTCTGGGACTGATGCTGAAGAACTTCTCATGCTCAAGGCCTGCAGAACCTAGGCTGTAAAAATATTCTCAGGATAAGATTAATGTGTTAGCACATACAAGGAGATCTCACCTTCTGTAAAGAATTTCAGAACATCTTTTGTGCTTGCTTTGAGCTAGCGGTCGGTAATAATGATCAGCTTAAATGGGCAATGAATCTGAGCTTGACAATGACCGAAAGATCACTGGTAACTCACTGTATAAACACTTAAACATTGACTTGAAAATACTATTTGGAATGCAATGTAAATTAATATATTATTTGAACCTCACTTTGCCTTGTCAATTTTTGTGCAGCAGCATTAGTAAGCAAACTGCTCATTTCTAAAACATGCAAGACCTATTTACTCCTGCAGTACAGCAGGCAAATTATAAAGCTTTGAATTTTTAATACAATCCACAAAATTAGTGCTTTTCTGTTATTTTAGGTTTAGTTTATATTAAAATTTAAAATAGAAGCATATGTTTCCATAC